TGGTATGATTCTGACATTACAGCCATTAAATATGTCACAACCATGAAATATACCATCATTCTTTCTAGTTCACATTGAGTGTGCCACTTTTTCTCTCTTTTTCTCAAATTGTTCCAGCAGCCCTCAAACCAATGAGTGAATAGCACCTCCTCTAGCATTTAGCTCATATAGGGGACCATATGCATAAGGACCAGATCCTAAGATGGTTTAAACTAACAAATTGGTTGCCTTCAGTGGAACTATGCTGTTTTACACTAGCTGAAAAAATTGGCCCTCTATTCTAATCCAAAATCAAAGTCTATTGTTTTCATATTTGGAGGGAGAAAATATTATCCTTATGTTCTTGTGATGTCACAACCTGCCACATTTTCTTGTGGTGTGAATTCTGTTTGGTAAACCAAGTCCTGGTCCTTAAGTACAAAACCTCGCAGGATGTGCCTACACTGTAGGGCTTAATTCAAAATAAGCTACGTAAATTGAGCTACGTCAATTGCATAGTTTATTTTGAAATAGAGAGCATCTAAACAGCACTTATTTTGAAATAATACACCCTTCCTCCGACTTTCATACAATGAGGGTTACAGAAGTCAGAGTAAGAAACATCCAGCTTGACAGTATTGTGACACTATTTCGAAATATCTGCCCACTGTGAAGACACGAACTAAGTTATTTCGGAATAGCACTAGTTATTTCGAAATAGTGTTGCAGTGTAGACGTACCCCCATTGATTCCAAGAAGCACACAAGGCACCTATATGGCTTTGCCATTGAATCTTCTTAATGAGAAAACAGTGTATTATATTTTGCAAGAACTGTAGCCTTAAATTATAAATATGTTTCAAATTAAAAGTAAAATTTACAGATGACTGAAATACAATGACTCCTTTTCTGACTGGACTCTCCAGTAAACTTTGATCAGTCTAGGGATAATATAAAACATTTTACAATTGCCACACACAACTTTTTTTCAGCAGTTTATTCCTGAATTCAATATTACTGAGAATTAAAAGGCACAACCTGCTTGTATGTGTATCTGGTAGCAGAGGGAAAACATTTAAGGAAGACTGACTTCATAATGAAAGATTCATTTATTTAGACATGTTGCTTGTCTGAGGGGACATTTATATGTAGTAATTCTTTGGGTGCATCTACACAGCATCTTAAACTCGAAATAAGATAGGCAATTTGCACTATGCAAATTGCCTATCTTATTTCAATTCTATTTCAAAATAGCTTATTTTGAAATTTGGCATGTCTACATAGTGCCAGATTTTGAAATAATGCCCTGTTTTGAGACATCACTTAACCCTTGTGGAATGAGGGTTACAGGGTTGCTGAAATAGCACACGCATTATTTCAAAAAATATTTCAAAAAAGGCGGCTTTTTAAGATGCAGAGTAGCTATTTAGGGATACCTCTGGGATACCTCCACCCTGTGTAGACATACTCTTCTAGAAAAGCACATAACTTTAGAGTGGAAAATGCTAAAATTGTTAGAACTTTTAAATGCGTGGACAGAATAACGCTTATGCTTGAAATACATTTTAAGCTCTCTGGACACAATATCGTAGGATTTTTTTTAAAATTTAATGGGTTTTGTACAAATTTACAAGCAAGTTACCAGTAGTTATCTGAACTACCAAAGAAAATCACAGGAAGAGTTAAATTATTACTGAGTGTGGTCCGCTGTCTTGGATGATTTAGACAGAACAAATCCTGTGTCTTTTAGACTCAATGACCCTTGCAGTCTCTTTCACGACCCTGTGATTCTATGAAGGTACCCAGAATACATCTGAAATGGTGTGAACTTTTCCGCCTTTTCACACAGTACTACACCTTTAAGAGGAGAGGCTCTGTGCCTGTTATTTGCTGTAGTATCCAGGACACAGTTGCCATAAAGCAGAGTTAGGCAAAGCAACCTTTGAAGATTTAAAGGGTGGTCCAGGAAAAATTAATCATCTGGTCCTAGCAGAAACTCATCTTGGGAAAGGTTTTCCCCTGAAAATAAAGAAGGGGAACCCCCTAATTGAAGAGCAGTGGGGAGCCGGACTTCTCACTTCTGGAGGATCTTATGATCTTTCTAGGTAGTAAGAGTTGGGGTATTTAAGCCAGGTAAACTGGAATAAATCCAGTAACAACGATTACCGAAACGTTTCTACATCGTATACATGTAGTTACACAGGTACGACTGTCTTCCTGGTTCCCAGGTCTGAAGCAATCACACTTTGCAACTGCCCCTCTCCCCCACAGCTGCCTCTCCCATGCAGGGGAATCTTTCTTCATAAGCGAAATGGTCTCTGTCTTCGCTTACTCCCCGGCTCCTCTTGTTCGCTCCCTGTCCCCGTTCCGGCAAAACTCCCAATTTCCCACGCAAAGCGACAGGATCCGTGTGCGTTTCTCCCCTCGCGGGCAGGGCAGGATGAATCCCTCTCCCATGTCTTTGTGTATCCTAGCAAATCTTCCACCGATGTAAAGCACCCATTGCATTGGCAGTTTACACCAGCTGAAAATCTCCTTGGCTTTCGCTCCGAAAAGGCCATTTCAGAACGGGCTCGGTTGGATTAGTCGGTTTCCCAAGGAAGGCAGGGAGAGAGATCGTGTCACCCTTGTTGGCACAGAAACTTTGGACTGAAACGATTCAATTACAGTAAGAAAAACGCAAACCAGCAAAGTACGTAAACGAGATTTGTAGGCAAATGCGAGTGACGGCGAAAGGGCATTTCAATCATTTAGGAGAGGACTAAGACAAGCTAAACTGAAATGGAGCGATCCGACTGAAGGCATCGGTCAAAATTGTTCTGGGATGCAAATCTGTCAGTTCCCTTCTCAGTGAAAGTGAGATGAAATAATAATAAACTGCTTTTGGAACCATTTCCCTTCGCCAAGCAGACAGCAAGCACACATTTATCTTTTCCCTGCGATCGAGGGAAAGCCCTTAGAAGCTGCTGTTTGATCTCAGACGTAAGCCACAGCCGAATCCGAACAGCAGTTGAGCACTAAAAGAAATGAGATGCTTGAGTAGATAAATGTCACATGGAAACCTCATTTGTTCTGTTTTTATCTCAGAACAAATGTAAGGACTCAACTAGTGCCATGTAAGTGGTGTAGATTAGGGAGATTATATTGCAATTATTGTGCCGCTCAGGAGATAGTTAGGATAACTTTGGGGAAACTTTCCCCCTCCCCCAAATCCCTTGTGATTCACCATTATTATGCTCTGCAGGCTGGCCCAATACAGTATAACCTGCAAGCCTCCGGAAAATAATTGACCTACTGACACCTCGGATGTAGATTTGATTTGTGAAGGGACAAATCCAGGCTGGTAAAGAAACACCAAGCCCTCCGTGTGATCTAAGCGCCTGCTTAGAACCTTTGCAGGTCTAACTATTGTAAAACAACATCAGGTTTATGGTCATTTGCGCCTGTGTCACCAGCACATAAATCACTGTCCGGATTCCCACCGCAGTAGGGAGAGACAGCGGGAGAAGCAAACCTCTTCGGCACGGTCTGAGTTCACCGCGCAGCAACCCACAACTAGCCGCAGTAGATTCTCTGCCACGTCGCTTTCTGCAAGCTGCCCCTTTGTGATCTGAACTGGATCGGTCGGATGAGTTGGGTGCCCGAGGCCTCAGTTTCTCTCTGCAAAAACAACCAGGAGTCCTGTGGCAACTGAGGGACGAACAGAGCAGAAGCTTTCCTGGGCCACAGGACTCCTCGTTGTTTTAGTTGCCCCTACAGGACCACCAAAAAGGGCACGTGTATCTTGCCACAGAAAGCATCGCATGCATTCTAGAGTCACTTCTGGTGCAGTTATCAGAGTCAGTTACGTCTCCTCTTTGTTTTCCTAGTAAATGAACGACGGTAATCTGGCGACGTCCCCAGTATGTATCTGTTTATTTCCAATGAGAATATACAAAATAAATCTGCATTTCTCTCCCAGTCGGACGGGTTGTTTGAAGTCTCCAGGTTAGGAATTTAGATAAGAGGAATCTGAGGCAAGCATGGCCAGATATCCGAGTGCCAGACGCCAGATAAGCTTACAAGTGCCTCAGTCTCCGCCCCAGGGGCTGACTTCATCGGAAAGGGGAGAAAAAAAATTCTTCACCTTCACACAGCGGGTGGACAAGTGGGGAGGGGGGTGTCCTCGATTCGGGACAATCAGGAATTAAATCTCCACCGCTAGCTCCTATGGGGGGGACGACGGGGGGCGGGAGAGAATCCTCCTGAGAACCCCAAATAGTGAGACCTTTTTGATTATTACAGTTTCTCAGCAGTCCCATACATAAAGCAGCAAGCAGGAAGGGCACATCTCGGGTTCCTAAGAAGAAACAGGTTATACTGGGCTTTCCGTATTATATAGGGGATCAGAGCCTGTGATCTTTACTAAAGTACGTTCACTGAGCTAGCTAGGACTGTGCGTGAGTAAAAGGCCAAGTAAAAACCGGTGGTTTTCCTTTGGAGTTTGCTGCAGTAAGCTTCCCCCTCCCCCCCCCCGTGAAACTTTTGCTCGCCCTAAAAATAAAATTCTCCTTTATGCTGCTTACTGCTCAGCACCCCTTTTCGAGATAAGAATAGGGTCCGGTGCAGCCCGAGAGCGGTTAATGCGCAGGAAATGTAGGGTTGCGTGGATGTTGTTAAAATACGAATAATTTGTTCTTCCCAGTAGAAGAGGGATTTGGCAAGTAGAGTATAAATGGAAAGAACAAACAACTCTTTTTTTATGCTGACTCTGATTGTGAGAGGAAAACCGGACGAGATTTCATTTAATATTTGGGGGTGAGGGAGCTTTAAGGGGTTTTTTAAAGACCAGTTTAAGGGGGAAAGGCTCAACTGTCAGCCGTTTCCCAAACACCAGATTAATACTGCCCAGAGCTTTGTGACTTTACGGTTTTCTAATGTGGTTTCCAGCCTGTAAACGTTTGTTTGTTATATCTCAGCATAGAACAATGAAAGCAAAATAACAACGGGGTGGACGCGGCTTTTTAAAATGTATGTATTTATTTTTATAACGCAAAACCACATTTTTCATGTTGAGCACAGCAAAAATCCCAAAGGGCAAGGTGGATATGTAAAAGCGGCAGACAGTTTCCCCTTAATTTGATTAAAACCCGTTTCATTGGCACTTTTTCACTCTCTGTGCTTCATAGAAAGGGTTTTAAACAAGTGCAAAATTCATGGTCACGTTTAAATCGGAGGCTCAAGAGCGTTAGTATTTGCATTTGCCTCTGTAATGCAGAGCAACGACCAAGAAATAGTTACACTTCAAAAGTTACAGGAAACTTTTAACTTTATGAGAATATTAACAACGACCATAAATAGAACCACGAGAAACATATTTTGCCTATTTTGCGTAGTTTTGATCACAAGATTACTCTCTTGTGTAATTTGCTGGCTTCTAAAATACTGGAATGTGTAGTGTACATATTTACGGTTCGAAATTATTTTCTAAATACAAGTCAAAGCAATGAGAATAAGAAAGATTTTTATTATTATTTATATGTTTCCACAAGCATTGCAGAATTGACTGTTCCATCTCCATATATTTTACAGAATTAAACTAATTGATTAATTTTAACTGTCACAAGCTAAATTCTTTCAATGAATCTGGAGACAAACTATATGTAAAATAATAGTGAAATTCTACATTGGCGAACTTTGCTTTGTGGGAACTCAGGGGAAAGAATTGACCAAACATGTTATTATTCCAGTATTTTAAGGCAGAAATCAATTGTGAGTAAATCTTTAATCCGTGCCCATCTTATTCTGCTTGAAATAGCTACAATGGCAGATTTCTGGCCTGACACTTTTTTAAAACAGCGTTTTTTAAATAGCCAGATGGGTCTGGGTGCAGTTATTTTTAAAGCAATCTATCTTTTAGGGTGATATTCTATTGCTAAGCATAGAAGTGTCTTTGATTCAAAGGTGTGTGTGTGTGTTTGGGAAGGGGGGATTCCAATTTGGTCAGGATTTTTGTTTAGCTACTAGAGAGGATATTGATTTTAAATATTTTCTTTCGTTAAAAAAATTACTTGACTGAAGATTTTGCTCTACAAACTAAAGCCTCCAACGTCACCAGCAGCTTCCCTCCTTCACCAGCAGCAACTGTTTCTAAACAGTTTTTATTGCGGACCAATGCCCTTTGCCCAGTGGGTCTCGTCCATAAACTAGGCAGTATATTTGTCCACCCAACTGACTGGCTCATTAATGCCAAAATCGGTGGAAGTTAGGTGGAAGTTGCTTCTCATTTCCTAATAAAAAGTTAGTAGAGCGGGATTAAAAGTGTCTTTTGAGTACACACTGTATCGGAACGGCACTTCAATGGTATTTCGCTCAAATGCCTCTTTTTTCGGCTCGTATTGCTTGCTCCTCTTTGGTTGCTTGTAGCTGAAGAACTAAATCCGTTCTTAGCATAATGCATTGCACAAGGCGTGCATCGATCGCTGGCATCAGGACTCATCACATCCAGGAGGTTGCAATGCCTCTATAAGAGCTCCATGAAAATAAAGGAGGAAATAACACGGGCATTGTGTACTTCAAACATTTGGTTTACTGAAGTCGAATTGTACTATGGTGAGTAGAACCAATGATCCCTGGCTCGAGGGTTGCAAAATGAGTGTTCAGGAAGGACGGTATTTGAACAGAGCGTTGAAGGGGCAGGTGAATATTCTGTATGTGGAGGGTGTGTGCAGTATTTTGGATCCTCGATGGCTGCTGAATACCAGTTTTGAATCTTTTCTAGCCTACTCTTTCTGAAGCCAATGGCAAAGCTTAGTAGTGCAGGAATAAGCCCTCAAAAGCAATGGCAGAGCTGAGTATGCGTCTCGCCTGCCTGCCAAACCGGCGACCAAGGAAGCTAACGTGTGCAAAATATCGTGGCCCGGGGTTTAATTTTTCTATCTCAAATCCTCCATTAATATGGGGGGAGGAGAGGAAACAAGGGAGATATTTTTACTACACTGGAGTTTTTGAGTAGAAAGATTATTTTCTCTGAGTCTCCCAAGGTTTATTTATTTGGTATGGTTTAGAGTAAAATATATATTGGACAAACAAGAGCAACGGGGAAACCAAAAAAACCCCAAAGTCTGGCAATAATTCTTCCTTCAAAGGATCAGAAAATCCACACTCAGCAGGACTGAGACAAGCAGCACTGTCTGCTACAGACAAGTGACATCATGTCACAGAATCCCAGTGTTCTGGCCCATTATTCACTTAGAGCAGGTTTACAGTTATGTTCCAATTTGAAAATGAAACTTTGCCTTGCTGTTCCATATTATATTACCGGTCCCTTTATGCAATGGATCATCCTATTAAATATCAGACAGAAGAAGAAAATGGAAAACAAAGCTCAAATGGGGAGTAGATAATATTTCCATGAAGGAACATTACACTCTTTAACGAGCTCTCTGCACGCTATAATTATGCTATAAACTCGTTTGATTATGCACCAGACTATAGGCTGCAAACCATGGAGCTGCATTTTAAAACTATTTTTGGAGCAAACTTTTTCCATGCCAGTCAATTAACTGAATAGTGAAGTTTCTAGCTTCGTTCTTCGCAGAGGGAGGGCGTTTCTTATTTCGGTTACCGTTGCTTGGGGGGGGGGGGAAGGGGAGCACCCCCCCCTCTCCCACAACCAGCAGGGCTCTGGTTATCAGGCACAAATGCAACATTCACAACTTTGAAAGGTTTCTTTTCCCCCTCTGGGGTGGCGTGAAGGGAGGGGAAAGTTGTTTTCTAAATATTAAACCGTATAGCAACTATCGACGAGTTCACCACGTCTCCAATCTTCGCTGGCAAACTCATCCAGCGAAAAGTCTGAGACGAAGGTTGACAGAAATCACTTTTAACTTTATTCTTTGGAACCACTGTCACTATTCTTCTTTAATGCAAGATCGTTAGTCCTTCAATATTTCCTGTCTTCTTGTAATCACTCCCTCTGTTACCAAAATGCCACACAATTACACTAAATGGTTAACTGCCTCCCCCACCACACACACACACACACACACACACACACACACACACACACACAGTTGCATTTTAGTTCATTGCATTTTGATAGTGTACAAAAGTCCCTCTCCCTTTTCCATATATGGCACTACTGGAAAATATTCGGCACTTCTTTTGGGAACACATCACTTGTTTACACAAGCAAATAAATGACAAACACTGTCACAAAGTTCCTTTGTGTTTAGATCTTCTAAATGCACTTAAATCCCGGTACTCCGCTAATAACATCTTTTCAATCATTATTTCCACTGGCGGATGCTCCCTCCTCTTGCAGGGTATGCTGTCCAGCAGCAGCAGCCCAGACAAACGTCCTTTGAAATCAACTCCAAAGAGCAAAGACGCCTCAGCATATACAAAACAGCGCGCAATGGACATTAGTATCTCCCGACTGTATGGACTGATTTACACGGGCCTCCGGGGGGGCTGGTCGGCTCCCTCGATGATACTTGTCCCCGAAATCTGAAGACACAGGCAGTTCACTCGGCGTCCATCTCTTTGCCACTCCCGGAGTTTGAGCTCTTCTCTGGAAGGGGTTCTTTATTGCAATGATAAGAGATTGTTACATTGGCTCTGAGGCTTTTGTTACTTTCCATGGGATCCAACCATTCATTACATTGACGGCTAGCAAGGATCCCCTTCTGGGGAAAGTGGAAGGCATTGGTTTTCTCGTTGTTCAGTGCTAATGTCTACCGATCAAGATGAGCTTCACACTTCTATTGAAACAATCTGCAGCACCCGCACGTCACACGGGGCAAATGAAATCAAATGTTGAGAGGTCTGGTGATTTTATGACGTTAGCTGGACAGCAGACTCCTTGACATTGACGTTAGATTTAAAACTGCCTCAGAAATAAAAACAAATTAAAACAAAACCAAACCCTGACAAGAGCTACAACTCTAAATCCGTGTATGGATGATAGAACAGAGAAGCAAATAAATCTTGGTTACCTAATTGAAAGGAAGAAGAAAGCCGTTTGTATAAATAGTGCTCCAGAAGGAGACAAAACAGAACACAAATGACACCAGACAACTGGCAGTGCGCACGCACTGGTGTCCTACATACAGTAGGTCTGTGCGCAGCTGGGGCAGAAGAAGCTCTTTCAAACTAAATCCTGCCTGCTCTTCCGGGTGTGCAGAACCAGGGTAAGGAAGAGCTGTGTGGCAAGAACGCACCTTTTAGTTACTGCTGACATCTGATGCTGTGTGCCACCACTGCCGCGGGATTAGAATCTTGCCTTTTCAGGGAGGAATTTAAATTCACTGGGAGCTTTTCCCCCATCGTCTATTTCTGCTCTATCCATCTAAGAAAAAGATTCAAGAGAAAGGGGGATTTGGTGACAAGTGAAAAGGAATTAGAAAAGTTTTCCTTTAAAAGCATTTGGGGAAAAGAGCGTCTAGATTGGCACGGACGCTTTTCCACAAAAGCATTTTTTGCAGAAAAGCGTCCGTGCCAATCTTGACGCGCTTTTCCGCAAAAAAGCCCCGATCGCCATTTTCGCAATCGGGGCTTTTTTGCGCAAAACAAATCTCAGCTGTCTACACTGGCCCTTTTGTGCAAAAATTTTGCGCAAAAGTGTCTTTTGCCGGAATGGGAGCAGCATAGTATTTCCACAAAAAGCACTGATTTCTTACAGTAGGAAGTCAGTGCTTTTGCGGAAATTCAAGTGGCCAGTGTAGACAGCTGGCAAGTTTTTCCGGAAAAGCAGCTGATTTTCCGGAAAAACTGGCCAGTTTAGACACAGCCGGAAAGTTTGCAGAGGAGAAGAGGTTACAAAGGGTATGTCTACACAGCACGCTTATTTTGAAATAAGCTATTCCAGAATAGTTATTCCAAAATAGCTCATTTCGAAGTATCATGTCTACACTTCAGGGAAGCCTCAAAATTAGTTCAAGGCAAGCTTCCCTAATGTAGACTACTATCTCCATTTAGAGCCCCAGGAAACACTGGGGAGGAATAATTTAGAATAGCCCTTGTGAGGGGCTATTTTGAAATAGCAGAATTGGTGCATACACACACACCTTATTTCAAAATAACTATTTTGGAATAGGTGTTATACCTTCTATAATGAGGTTTTCAGATTTTGGAATTAGCGGTCGGTTATTTAAAAAAAAATTCAAAATAATGGAATGGCCGTGAAGATGTTTGCATTATTATATCGAAATAATGCTAGTTATTTCTAAATAATGGTGCAGTCCCCAAAGACTAAGACTGATTGCTTGAGAAGGGATAGGAATACCAGGGGACAAGACAAAGATACAGAGACATTAAACTGGGTTAGTCTAGTTAGCCTGTCCCATAATACAATAAGGGAACAGCTATGGAAATTAAAACCAACAAGCCCTGATAAAAGGAAATACTTTGCCAGACAATTAGTCTTTTGCACTCAAGATGCCAATCAGCACAAGAGCTTAAAAAAGAAGACTACCCCATTCTATACATATGGAGAACACATAGATATGTTATAGTAAAGGTTACAAAAATAGATAACTGTTTTGGAAAGGAAATAAATTCTCATGCTTTAAGGAATTTATCAAACTAACTATTGAGTCTCACAGGGGTATTCATGTTAGTCTGTAACTTAGAAACACAATGGTCTTGTAGCACCTTACGGTGAATCTACACAGCACACTTAGCTTGAAATAAGCTATGCAATTTGTGCTACACAAATTGCACAGCTTATTTTGATGCTATTTTGAAATAGCTTAGGGTATGTCTACACTACCCCGCTAGTTCGAACTAGCGGGGTAGTGTAGACATACCCTAAGCTATTTCAAAATAGCATCAAAATAAGCTGTGCAATTTGTGTAGCACAAATTGCATAGCTTATTTCAAGCTAAGTGTGCTGTGTAGATTCACCGTAAGGTGCTACAAGACCATTGTGTTTCTAAGTTACAGACTAACATGAATACCCCTGTGAGACTCAATAGTTAGTTTGATAAATTCCTTAAAGCATGAGAATTTATTTCCTTTCCAAAACAGTTATCTATTTTTGTAACCTTTACTATAACATATCTATGTGTTCTCCATATGTATAGAATGGGGTAGTCTTCTTTTTTAAGCTCTTGTGCTGATTGGCATCTTGAGTGCAAAAGACTAATTGTCTGCTTATGCAAATGAAGCCCGGGAATTTCAAATCCCGGGCTTCATTTGCAAGTGCGGTATGCCTACATTACCCTCCTAGTTCGAACTAGGAGGGCAGTATAGACATACCCTTATTTAGTAATTTGGTGCTGTCTACACAGTGCCAAATTTCAAAATATCTCGCTATTCTGAAATTCCCCTGAACCGTTGTGGAACAAGGGTTACTGGAATGTCAGAATAAGCTGCCTTTATTTCAAAATCTATTTCAAAATAACGGGCTGCTTCAATAGATGTGGAATAGCTATTCTGGGATACTTCTGGTATCCCAAAATAGCTCTGCAGTGTTGATATAGCCTTAGAGACTAACAAAAACATATAAAGAGTATCATGAGCTTTTGTGGGCACAATTCACTTGTTCAAACAAATATGGGTTTGTGCCCATGAAAGCTCATGATAATATTTATATATTTTTGTTAGTC